CAGAGTCCCTCCCCAGCTCTCCTGGAGCCCCTTTAGGCACTGGAAGGGGCTCTGAGGTCTCCCCTTTTTGGCCTTCTCTTCTCCAGGCTGAACCCCCCCAACTCTCCCAGCCTGTCCTCCCAGCAGAGGGGCTCCAGCCCTCCCAGCATCTCCGTGCCCTCCTCTGGCCCCGCTCCAACAGCTCCGTCTCCTTCTGCTGGTGGGACCCCCCGAGCTGGAGGCAGCACTGCAGGGGGGTCTCCCCAGAGCAGAGCAGAGCGCAGCAGAGGGGCACAATCCCCCCTCGCCCTGCTGGCCACGCTGCTGGGGATGCAGCCCGGGGTGCCGGGGGCTCGCTGGGCTGCGATCACACATTGCCGGCTCATGGGGAGCTTCTCACCCACCAACACCCCCAGGTCCTTCTCCTCAGGGCTGCTCTCCATTCCCTTCACCCCCCAGCCCGTACGGGTACCAGGGGCTGCCCCCACCCAGACACAGGGAGGTGAGCGAGAAACACATTAGGCAAAAAAAAGAAATAATAGAGAAGTCATCGTCTTCCTCCGCTTGCTTTTCCAGCTCCAATTTGGGTGGAAAACGCTCTATCTATCCCCCTGCCGCAGGATCGCCCGGTGCGATGGGTGATGTCTCCAGTCCAGCTCTCTGGGAACAGACTGGGCCCAGCAAACCCCCTCCCAGTCCAGGGGCAAAGCGCAGCCAGAGCCCGCAGGTCTCACCAGCCTGGTAGTCGTAGAGCGCCCGTGCACACAGCCCCTTCCCCGCCAGGTCCGGCGGCTCCTGGTACTCCCCCGCGTAGTCGTATTTGGCATCGTCGACTTGTTCCTGCCAGAAAGAGAGAGGCAGAAATGGAGTTAGCAGCGCGAAGGATGCCGCGCCGGGCAGCTCCTGCTTCGTTCAGCCGCAGTGTCGCGGTTTGGGCTGGACCAGCCACTAAAATGAATGAGAGATGCTCTTGTTTAACTTCTCTCCCCATAACGAGAGAGAGAAAAATCAGAGACTTATAAGCTCTAAAGAAACTAAACTGCTTCAGCAAAATATTAGTAATTTAATGACATATTAAGAATAAAATAGTAAAATGATAATAAAGCTAATAAGAAATAATGAAGTCTATACAATACACTGTCTGTGCCCGTCGCCGCACCTCGCGGCCCCGCTTGGTTTCCCAGCAGAAAATGCAGGAGGAGACAGCAGGAGGGAGGAGAACGACCGCTCCCAGATAAATTTGAGATTGAGAAAAATGGAGCATGGCTGAAACGCTTTTGGTTTTGGAGGCGGGGGGGACGGGACACGACAGGACACAAGACGGATGGATAGAGGAGAGGAAACCAAACGGCTGCCACATCCCCAAGGGAAACAACTCCGTGATTAGACGCTGGAGAATCCGATGGAGCACCGCCAAGAAGAGCCTGGGCTTTATCAGCTCTGCTGGTTTTGGATGTGCAAAGAAGCAGGAGGAGGAGGAAGAGGAGGAGGAGGAGAAGGAATCACTTTGGCAAAGAGGCTGACAGGAGGGAGGGGGGCAGTGACAGCAGCCGGAGCACCCCGGGGTGCGGGACCGGGTACGGGCGCTCAGCGCCAGCATCCCTCACCAGCAGTGCAGGGAAGGGACGCAGCAGCATCCTCTCGCGGCGCCAGCACAGCCCGAGCACATGCCCGCACCGCCGTTCCT